GTGGCAATTGTCATAATATAATTGTTGTTTGGGAATGTACAATTTAGCGTTTAGTTGGGTTTAAACAATATAGCGTCAAATCAATTACCTACTCTATCGGTTGTATCTTAATATACACTACACTTTAATGATACTATAAATAAATAAACTCACACATACACACATATGCATTCATAACATTGTGTCTAATGTAAGTATAACATGATAAAAAGTAACCGTAAAATGAAAATTGGAAAATAAATTTTAGTACTCATATTAAATGTAATGTAACTCGAAAAATATTTATTTAAATGAAAAAATATAAGATACCTTTTTTGTTTAAAATTATTTTATAAACAACTTTTCTATGAAATTTTTTTTTGTAAGTTAAATGTTTTTTGAGTAAATTAAAAAAGCTCATATTTTTTAACTTTTGCGAGGCTGTAAAAAAGAAAGCTCAAGTCCAATCGATGAGGACTTTTAGTATGTCATTATACATATCTTTACATTCAACTTTAAAAAAAAAAAAATTTGGTTGGTAATTTTTTCCGCCATTTTTCCTTCGTTGACTGGCCTATTTTATATTCTTGATAATAACAATAATAATTATAATTATTATTGTTATTATCAACTGTTATCGACAACATATAGACAATAAACCAGATGAAAATAAAATCTTAACAAATAAAATAACTGATCAAGTTATTTTTGGAGAAATGGCCTTTTCGAATGCACTCGTTATTTTTAGACTATAACGAGTTGTTGGAGATATGGCGGTCTCGCATGAAATATGCATTATTATTAGATAAACACATTTATCACATAAAAGTAGTTCTGAAAAAATGTGGAGAAATGGCCTTTTCGAAATGACCAATTCAAATATAATTCACTTCTGCCATATTTTTTTAACCTCTCTCGACTTATCTTCTCAATTTATATTGCTGATTTCTGAAACAAAATCACTAGAAATTTTATATTGACCTAGTAAAAGCACTATTTTTTATAATAACTGATTTTGTATATAAATATTATTACTATAAAACTGGATTATTATGTCTGTATTATTTATACACTAAATAGTTATTCATAAATAATTGTATTGCTATTAATTAAGATACGAAAACAAATGTTTATTTATTTTTAACTTTGATGCGAAACTATGAACGTATTAATTTTTAATTATGTAATAAGAACAAGGAATAAAACGCTTTTCTGAAAAAATTACTTAGCATGCTCGGATTTTCAAAATTTTTTTTTGCAATGAAAGTACTCGGTCACTAGACTCCAGGAAAATTATTGGCGAAGGTCGGAAAATTTTTGCCGCTCGCCCGCGAGCGTTTTACGACTTAAGGTTTGAAATTTTCATCAGACTCGCCCAATGACATTCCTGAGATATGATAAAAAAATCAATTCAATCCGTTCATTTTTCACCGTTTTACGGGCCTTTTTTTTTTTTTTAAGTCCACGCGCATGGTTTTAATATGCGCATTGATTCATTTCTGCCCATAAGTTTATTATGAACCTTAATTTATGGTGTAATATGTATTTTTATTAGAACAATATTTTGCACATGCACATAGCACTATATTTTATTGAGGAATATTATATGTTATATATAAATTTCAAGACGGTTATAATTATATAAGTTTGTACTTTCATTAACAGTACATTATTAATAATCTTTTTTTTCTCATATATACTGTCCAACGTTAAATCGCAGCTACCAATATTTTTATCAAAATTAAATTTTTTACATAGTTTCACGTATAATAACCTGCTGAATTTTTTTAAATTATTCTTTAGTATAAATACAATTATTATAATTAGAATATTAATCATTTTTGTGTATACCAGGGGTGTATTTTAGGGAGATATGGGCCCCCCTTGAACCAGCGCTATCAATATTTTTGTAGGGAACTTCTAATAAATAAGGACCTTATGTCCTTNTATTTTTGTAGGGAACTTCTATTAAATAAGGACCTTATGTCCTTTTTTTCATCATTACTTTAATTTTTAGCAAAAAAAATTCTATAACATGTTTAACAAAGTAAAAAATATTAAATACCCTCCTAAAAAAATTTTTAATAGGCCAAAAGAAAAAATACCTCATTAACAAACATAAACCTTATACCCAATACATTTTACTATATTCTCTTTTTGAATTTTCCTGATTTTAATAATAACATTTTTAATATATTTATATTACACTGATTCTGATGTAATATTTTTTCTGCAAAACACTTATCGTAACCGGCATAGCCGGGTACCCCTACCGGAATCAGTTGCCTACTTATGATGACGGCCCGAAGAGGCTTATGCGTCGTAGGCGCGTAAGGCTCGTAGGGCTCCGGGTTTGGAGCGGAGCCCCAGCTAGGGGAGGCGTAGCTTTTATTAATGCGTTTATTTATATTTTTTGTCTGTCGCTATTTTTCTCAGCTTTCAGTGGATCGATTTTTATAATGATACGTTAAATGTTAACAAATCATATCTCTTTAAAGCAATACCATCCAAAAATAAAATACAAATTAAATAAATTTCTCTTATTCTCTGTAAATGAGCGAAATCGCTAAAAAATTACCAATTTTTAAATTTGTAAATTGTGGCATTTTTTTTACTTAAAATTATCTTTAACTTTTTTTTAAATGGATAAAATATTTTGTTTTTAATAAACACTTAAGGTATTTTTCTTTAATTTGATACATTTATTTGAAAATCTGACCGTTGACCAGCTTAATAGAGGGAATTTAAAATAGAAACTTTTACTCGAAAATTTTACTTTTTTCAAATTAACTTTTAAACATGTTAACGGCATACGAATTTAAACAAGAAATATTATTTTGGAGTCAAAAATCATCGTTTTACGTGCTGTTATAATTTTTCATTTTAATATTATATGCTTATATTTTAGATCAAGCATTCATATAAGATAGTAGGAGGTGGGTAAGTACCTAATTAAACCCCTCTCCTTCATTTTACAAAAAAGAAATTTAAGTTAAAATTCAAGAATTAGATATAAATATTTTGTAGTTTTAAGGTCAATCCAATAAGTATATTAAGGAAGTAAGCTGTCCCTACCAAAAAAAAATCATCTAGATGAATTTTTGGTTGTCTATTTTCTATAATTGTTAGCAAGAAATAAGTTGAAAAAAGTGAAGTTACTAAACCATTAGAACACGTGCTGTATATCGATGACTAAAAACTGCTAGTCATTAAAAAACTCAAAGGGTTAGAGGTTGTCATTGAAAATTATTGTTTTTTTTATGACGCTACCAATTGTTTTATTACTAATGTTAATAAGTATAAAGTTAAATGTTGTTGGTAATGAAATGGGAAATTATATTTTTTTTCATATAATGAAACTAGTTTTTTTACAAAAATATAAGATACGCATTTTAAATAACTAAACTCACACAAAATTTTCTTTGCGTGGAGATATTTTAAATACAAAATTCTAATCATTTTGAAATTATTGTGAGTTCTAAGTTTTTAGGGTTAAGCCAACCCTAAAAACTTAGAACTCACTAGGCCAAGCCGGTTTAATGGGTAGAAACCACTGGTTTCTATTCCCAGAGTGCCAACGAGTTTTTTCTTGTGATTTTTTTATTGGTGGTGTCTGACCTCTGGTGCAAGCTGACCACAACACCTGTCCCCGTCTAACATGGAATTAGCCAAACACCATCTTTAACTCACTAATATGTGTAAGAGGGCCACCGACCTCTGCATGTTAGGTCGGAAATAGAAGGATGTAAAACTAATTATTATTATACTTTTTGTCAGTTTTAAGTTTCCACCATAGTTTTTAATTAACTATGAAATTCTATAGATTTTTTTTTTAACTTATGTAATAAAAAGTGTGCTGTTGTAAGCACTGAATAAATTTTTGCTTTTTATATAAATATCTTTTTAATCTAAGAAATGATATTTAAGCATAGGCATAATTAGGAAAGTAATTTAGGGAGATTAACTCTCAACGTTGAGAAAACTATCTAACTATAATATGGAAATATTTTTAAGAGCGAGGAAAAATATATTTAGACTCTAACAATATTAATCTATAATTTCGTCATGTATTTAATCATTCAAATATAGTCGTTTTCTCTGTTACAGAAAATTTGAAAGATGTAAGACAAAAATACACGGATTATATCAAAAATAAAAAATTTAAGTAAACTAAAAATGTATAGCTATATTTAAAAATTTAACAATATAAGATATGTTAGAAAATATAACAACAAAAAATATTTTTTAATTAAATAAGTAATTTTAGTACTCATCGACTTTTTACACGACTTTCCAGTTGTAAATTTATCTATGTCGTCGAAGTAATTTTGTTCACTAGTTATTAAAGTAAAGATAACATTATAGTTGGTTTAAAAGCATTTTAAAATAATTAATTGCATTTCTTTCAGTTATTGTTGTATAGGAAAGAAAAATTTAATATTAAAATTTATTTTTTGTCTTTTTTATTTAAAATTAATTGTCTTTTTCACCGCCTCTAAAAGATTGCCGTATTAAGCACTGCTTTATTGTGTTTACTAAAAAATCTAGCACTGTTATCTGTAAATATAAGGCCTAAAATTAATAGGTTATTTTCCAAATCCAGTTCCAAAGTCCCTACTGATCCTGTTTTAGGATTCCCTTGGCTTTTAAAGTGTTTTACACAATCCATCACAGAAATTACTTAAATTGGAAAAATGTATTAAATAAATTCTCGTCTAATCATGTTAGACAAAAATTCTAACACCAAATGTTATTAATTAATTAGTCATGTATTTTCTGCATCATGTTATATACACTGTGCTCATACATATATTCATAATAAAAAAAAATTTGTTTGTCATAAAAGAATGTTTGTAAGATTTTAGAAAATAATCTATATAGATTAAACCATGTGAATATTATTAACTCCTTGAATTATCTCGATGTTAAATAAAAATATTTATGGAATAGAACACTTTATAATCGGCGTACAACCCACCCATTGACCGCTGTGGCCGTCAGTCGTTGTCGCCGACTGTACCACCGCCACTTCTACCGATCGTAGTATTATTACAACTACTGAGTTCGGCCATCATCTCCACCACCACCATTACAACCAAACAGCAAGTATGTACGGACCGCCGCCGGAGCCCGAACATGACCAGCAGGCCGACACGGCGCCTGTCTGTGTGTGCAGCGTGAGGGTTCGCGCGCAGTTTCTACGTCGGCCCATGGCCGCCATGTGAGCGCGAATTATTTAATATCACCACAAACAATATTAACGCCGCCGACGTCCGTCGTCGTTTCCGCGATCATTGTCGTGATCGACCACCACAGCCGTCGCGTTTACTCTATATTTATAACACTAAAATATAGAAGTTTTTATAAATATTTTAATTAATGTTGACGGTGATAATAAATTGTAATAATTGTTATTTAATTTGTTAACTATTTATTTTATATAAATAATGTAAAAACGTTTTTTAAGTATCGTTTATACTTAGAAATAAATAGCTGAGTAGTAGCTCATTTTTAATGCTACTTAAATTTTAGTTTATAATTTTTATTATAAAATATTTTTTTGGAATTTATGTAAATTTGTGGATAAGTGTATGGTGCTACGATTTTACCATATTTATTAAGTATTGAAGAGGTAATAAAAATTGCATCTCATTTTTAGCTTTATTATTACGCGCGTGGACATTACTGTCATGTTCTCGTCCATAGTGATAAGTGATAACAATGAAACTAAATAAATTGTAATTATACATTCTTTAAAATGTAACATTTTTTTTAGATTTGGTTTTAAATTTTAGAAAACGAATTTGCTTGACTTATTTTTTAATATTTCAACTAAGCAATTCTTTAAGTTTTTATGTATAAGATATTTCTTTTTAATTTATCATTCATTTTCTAATAAAAAGATGATTTGCTACTAAAATATATTGCAAATTAGATTATACAACTATGATTTCAAGTATTTGCTTGTTAAAAGTATATATATTCCATCATATTTGTTGAACAATGTCACGCATCAATACTTTATAAAATATTTGATTATATTAAATTGACTATTTTGCAAAATAAATTGATGTTATTTAAGTTTAAACTTTTAAAGTAATATTAAAAAAATTTGATTATGAATAATATTAATTTGAAAATAATAAATTTTAGACAGTTGAAAACATGAGTATAGTATTCAGATATGTTCAGTTTTATAATTTTTCAGGAAATATAAAAAAAATATACAAGGGGTGTTCAGTAAGTAAGGAAGGGAACAGCTCAATTGTTACAAACAATAGAAACCCATTTCCTTTCTTACTGAACACTATATATGCTTTACATTTTAAACGCAGCCTAAAATGATTAATAATTTTTATTAACTCTACATCAAATTATCAGCTTCTTGCACATATGTAAAAAACAGTTTTTCTTTTAATAAATTTGTGTAATACCTTCAACTATTTTATTTTAAAAATATTAAAATAATTTAAATTCTTAATAGAATTATTTGTTTAAATAATTAAGAATATAAATTTTGCTTTTTATATGAGTAATATTTTTTAAATAGTAATATTCATTTATACCACAGTATTGAATTTTAATTTTTGAAAAATATTCTATAAGGAGATTATTATATATTAATTTAACTATTATACTTAAAAACATCTCACATAATTATTACTTTTATATTTCTAATAATATATTGGTAATATATCTAAAAAGAAAAATTTATTTTTGTACATGGACTTAGTGCTCATTTTTGTTTTTACTATGTTTGTGTTGTGTATAAAAAATTGAATTTAAAACTACCTGAGAAAAAATTAAAAATATTACATTTTGATAGTTGAAAATCTGTAGAATATATAACATATTTTGCATATATCCTTTCAGTTGTATAAAAATGATAACAGAATCATTGCAAATGATTTTTTTAATAAAAATAATATAATGTTATTTTTGTAAACATTTATCTATTATCATTATTTTATAATTGAAAAACTCTATTCCAAGATAAAGCTTAATTTTAAAAGATTAAGGAAACTCATCATAAAACCTTGTCTCCTTTCATCCCTTTAGGAATGAAAAACGTAAACATTAATATTCTTTAATGTGAACCCTATTTTTTGGTTTAAATATGATAGAAAGAAAAATTACAAATGAATTTATTCTTATAAATTTTTTTATCTGAACAAACAACTGTGTTTTATATCTGTTTAAAGAATTGAATGTAAAATAAAAATCATCATTAATTTGGTTTTCTTAATACCAGAAGCAACAATAATCTTTTTAATGGCCTATAAATTATTTTCTGTATTTAATCTTGCTAAGTGATACATATGATAACAAGAATTGTTAACAAAATTTTGTTTATGTGACCGCATGAAAGAATTATAATTTTTGTATGCTAAACCGCAAATTATTGTTAGGATATTAGTCAAAAATTGCTATTTTATGAAAAATATCATAAAGACAAAATTTTTTTAAATTTTTTTTTCAAACATCATAAAACTAAAAGTTGAACTATGTTGTCTGTTTTTACCACAAAGACAAGTCCAAAAGTCAAGTTTCATTTTAAATTAAAGTATTTTACATAAAAAGAGGTCGGCTTGTCCTAGTGGGTAGAAACGAATGTTCAGGGCCACAGGGTCCTGGGTTTAATCCCCAGAGTGCCAATAATATTTTTTCTGTAATATTTTTATTACTTAATAGTTTAATTACTTAATGAACCCTTTACTATTAACAGCATAGTATGGTATTGTTTTAGTCAGCAATAACAAATCAATTTTTTTTTAGATGAATAACAATTTATAATGGGTGAAATGGATACAGATCAATTATATTCTGTTCGCTGGAATGAATTCCACACTAGTATTATTACATCATTTAGACATCTTCTTGATCAAGAAGATTTTATTGATGTTACCATTGCCTGTGAAGGCCAGTCATTTACTGCTCATAAAGTTGTGCTCTCTGCTTGTAGTCCTTACTTTAGATCTCTGCTCAAGGTAAAATATAGATTTTTTCAGGTGTACTTGATTTTTTAAATTAGTACTTAAAAATTTTGCTCTTACTAATATTAAATTATATGACTTGGTTTGTAAAGAAGTTTTTAAAAATATGTTTTCAAATCAATTTTAGGCAAATCCATGCCAACACCCTATTATAATTCTTCGTGATGTCAAAAAAAAAGAAATGGAAGCTCTGCTTAGTTTTATGTATAATGGAGAAGTTCGAATTAATCAAGAAAACTTACCAGAGTTCTTAAAGACTGCTAAAAGTTTACAAGTGAGGGGGCTTGTTGATTTTACTAAAGAAAATCAACCTGTAAGTATATAAAATTGTATTAAAAATGTAATTTTCAGATAAATATAATTCAATGAACTTTAACATTTAATCATAGTAACTTATTTAATATATAAAATTAATTAATTTTACACAGTCGTCTTGGGAATGTTCAAGTGTTATACCAATAGAAATTGTTGGGAAAACTAAGTCTGGTGATAATTTAACTAGCCCACCTTATAAAAGACAACGCAACAATTCTGACAAATCTGCTCAAGCATTGACGCCTAGTTCTAATTTTAATGTTGATAAAGACAAAGATACACCTTCACTGCTTGTACAAGCATTAGAATTGAATCAGAATCAACCAAATCAGGTATAAATTTAAAAATATTTCTTCTAACTAATTCTGATATTGGTTTTTTTTGTATTAATCATACTTATCGAATAAGTTTAATTAACTTACAGAGTAAAATTTCTATTGATTCATCAGTTACTGGTCATTCTTCCGATGAAGAAGACAGTAATTCTAGAGATTCTGATGGTAGTGGTACAGTAAATGATTGTAACCGAACAAATAGAAGTCAACAAGATATTCATGGACAAATTTCTCAACATACATCAAAATTGGAACCAGTAGATTTTTTACCAACTAGTGGTAATAATCATGACTTACATCATACATCCATTTCAATTGAACATCAATCCAGACATTCATTTCCTACAACATTGTCTTCTGGAGTATCAATTATAAATAGCTTGCAAGGTTTGTTTCGCTTTTATTCCTTTTCATTTAAATTTATTCCAAACATTAAATTTTATTATTATTGAAACTTTAGAAGCAGAAATATGATGCCAAACATTATTTCATAGATCCAATTATAATAATTTTCCCATGATGATTGAAAACTTTAGGCAGCAATCAACCTTAGTAAATCTTATTCTAATCTGTTTTATTTATTTATAAAGCATTCAAACAATCTATTTTCTATAAAGAAATTAAAATTATTACTGTGCACAATAACTTCCTTCAATTATTTGATTATGATTTAGTTAAAATATTTAAAATTAAAATGTATTGTATTGCAATTTTATTTATAGGTTTACCAGGACTTTTACCGGGTCCTTCAGGAATACACAGTAATAGTCAAGATAATAACTTTGGTAAGTTTTATGTATACTTCTTTGTTACTAACATAGTTTTTTATGAATATCGGTTGATATTTAATTATGAAATTTAAAAAATTTGTTGCCTTGAGCACATAAAGAAGTCTAAAATTTTTAGATTAATTAATAGTAAAGTAACTAATTTATATTGAGTTAAAACAATTAAAATTAGAAATATCTATTTATTCAATGAAAATTCTAAATCACAATATATAAATGAATCTTAAATTGTATTAAGAATTTTAAAATAGTAATTTTTTGTGTAGAAAATGCATGTTACCCTATCAAAGTTAAGAAAAAAATGTAAATATTTTGCCAAATAATAGGTTTGTAACTATTAACTAAATCTTCTTTTTTATTTTACTGAATAATGATTCAGTAATTGATTTATTGGACAATAATATAGTGTTTAGTAAGTAAGGAAAAGGGTTTCTACTGTTCTTATTGATTGTAACAATTGACCTGTTTCCTTACTTTTTGAACATTCTGTATATTTATTTGACATTATCGTAGCCTCCTTGAATTTATAAAGAATTTTTTTAAAATAATGAAAATGATTAACCTAATAAATTTAGAACAGAATTGGTCTTGAAGGTGGTTAAAGTGGTGTAATACCATAACAAAGAATAGTCATGACAATTGTGTACTTCAATGAAAATTATATTGGCTTTTTTTTTAAGTGGAAACAAAAGATCATTCTATTAATTTACTACCTCAGAAATAACAAATTGACAGTTATGTATTTTAAACCTTTCCAAAAATAATTTCCGGAGAATAATTGATGTATTATTGAATAAAAGTATTTAATTTTAACATTGTACAAGTTATATCATCAACAAAAACCTTACTATGAAAAAGAGCCAAGTTCTAAGCCTCTCCCTCCCATTAAAGTCTATGTATTGTAGTAGTGATATTTGTGTTGTGACCAAGTTTGCCCTTTCTTTAATTCATAAACTTAAATTATACTTCTATGAGCATCGTTGCTCATTTATTTATATTGCTTAATTATTGTTCAGTTTTTGAAAGAGGCATAGAATAGATTTTCAACAAATCCCATAAAAAGATCTGAATTATTTTTTTTTTCTTCCCATATAACACGTAATTACTAAACGAAGACTTTGGCCAAGTACTGACCAAGTCAACAAAATTAATAAAAGAGCAATATTGCTCATAAAAGTAGGATTGATTTTAAAGAAAGAGCAAACTTGGCCATAATGTTAGTTGCAGTAATATAGAGAGAGGGTTGAAACTTTTTCACAGATAGTCATTTGTTGAGAATATCTTTTCTTTTTGTTGGCTTAAGTCAAAAAAATACATAATTTTTACGAACCACTTCTTATATTCCCGCCTTTATTCTAACTACTTGGGGTTAGACACCTTTATCCTAAATTTCCACTTAACAAAATCCTCCACATCATCCGTCCTTATATCGCATTGAATAACATTCCTCCAACTCTTTTATGGGCCTTCCTCTACCTCTTCTTCTTTCAACATTAATTTTCCTAACTGTTCTTACAGTTTCCGATTCTTCTATCCTTATAAAATTACCATACTATCAAAGTCTTTCTCGTCTGTGCTACACTCATTCTCTTGTCAACCTCACAACACTCTGAACCATACAACATAGCTGATCTCACTAAAGTCTTATAGAATTTATCATTCAGCTTCATTGGAAGTCTCTTATCACATAACACACCAGACGCTTTTCTTCACTTTAACCACCTGCACTTAATCCTGTGTCTTACATCCTAGTCAATACCACTGCTCTTTTGCACAATTGATCCTAAATACATAAAACTTTCCAACTTTCCTATCATGTCCTCGCCTATTGTCACTGAACTCCTCATTTCACCTACCACGTGTTCTCCTTTGTCAAACTCATACTCTATATACTCTGTCTGACTTTTACTTTTTGATTGATTTTCTCTTTATAACACTATATTGTCAGCAAACAATATGCACCACGGGACCTCTCCTTGTATTTCTTCAGTAATTTCATCCATCACTAGAAAATAAGTGAGAACTTAAAGCAGAACTTTTATGCACTCCTACTCTACCCTAATTTTCATGAACCACTAAAAAATCAAATTATCAGTCACTGAGTCAGTTACAAAAATAAAAACTTTTAATATTACCCACATTGAGAAATGGGAAAATATTTATGTTCAATATTAAGGGTTAAATTTTTTACAGTATTTTAAGCTAATAAAACTCAATCTATGTTATAAATTATAAAAGTTTATCTTAAAAAGGAGAAATAGATATATGAAGACTAAAAAAATCGAACAAATTATTTTGTGTAAATATAAACTATAATTGTAGTAGCAATGCTGTGTCCTCAAATTTTTTTAAAATTATTATTTTTGAAATATATCTTTTGATCCTTCATTTGCGAACAAATATGTATATAATATTTTGATAAATTAACTACAGAATTTATCTACAAATAAAACTTTAATCTTAAAAAATTGTGGCATTCTTCATAAACAATGGACAATAATTATACTTGACTTATTTAATCATGAGCGAGTTAGTAATTGTTTACAAAAACTTGGAACGAATAATAATTAATATATATTTCATTGTTTAAAAATAAATCATTCGGCTTCCCAGGATAAATATTTTATACAGACTTGTTAAGCCGAGTATTAATGCTTTATTTTCTCGACAGCTCTGCATTTAAATATTATTGAAAATTAAATTTTAATGAATAAGCACACTAGTCGTCTATATTAGTCTGAGTTTAATGATTTGTTGTAATACTATTTTTACAAAAAACACCGTGTTGTTATGGTTTGTATTTTTTGTATTAAGTTTATCGTAGAATTATTTAAAAACGTCGTTAAAATAATAACGACTTAGTCAATCTTTTGGTTAAGATTAGTTAGAAAGAATAAGAAAAAAAATAAATGCTTATAATTAATTTTAATAGAATTCAATAAAATAACGTTCAATCATAAAATCATTAAGAATAGTTACGTTCATATTAACATATATATGTATAACTCGTATACACTTTTGAGTGTATATTAACTATTTTTATTTCATGTATAAAAAAAAAAAAAACTGTGTTTAGCATATTATTATTATGTACGCCTTATTTTATTTGTTGAATCAGCCATTTGATCGTACAATACTCCACATACAAGTCTAAAATGTTATGTGTTTTTGTTATCAAATACCCAGAATGTTTTCGCCTTTATTTATTCGTTTTGTTTTTTTCTGCTCATATAATATTTTGTCTTTTTTCTTGATTAGTAGATAAAAAGTAACTATCCTTGAGAAGCCGCAATTATATATTTACACTAGACTATGAGTTGAAATTGGAGAGGAGGATTTGCGACAACAAAAAATCTTTTTTTTTATGGAGATTAAAATTCTGACGTTTAGAGATACAAATGTAATGTTTTATGATTGCGTTTTAATTCTTTCTTTATTTCTAATTTTATCCTAATATTATTTTATTATACTATTTTTGAAAAACTATTTTAAACGTTTTTATTTAATATAAAGTTATATATGTGTTTTAAGTTTAATAACTTAAAACTATTAAAACTTAAAAAAAACTATTCGGTTAAACTTTTGTAAACATTTTTTAATCTTTGCGCTGAATATCTAACTATTTTAAATGTCGTTAGTCTAAAACATTATTAATTTATTGCTTATAATGTCATATTAGTAGACTCGAGTTTTAGACTTTTTTTTAACTTTATTTATATGATTAAAAGCGCGATATTTCTATAATTACATCTGGAATGAATTAAAGTGGTACTTCTTTTTTAATTCGATAAATTATTTTTACCTTTTATATATAAAGTTTGTATAAACTTAAATTTTTGATATGATATTATTAATATTACTTTGAAATTGTATTGTTAAGCATATAGATTATGCCATATTCTACTAATTATACAAAATATTTTACTTATTGAACTTGGAAGAACCCTTTAAACAACGTAACCCTGTTATTCTTGTACAAAACGTGCTGTCAAATTGTACTACTAAATGTGCTAGTTGAATTTTACTAAAAATAAAATTATTTTCTTGTGCCAGAATTTCTATGTAATGTTGACTAGGATTGGTAGTAGTGATGCACACAAAGTGGACTACTGCATGGTTTGTTATAATCATACAGTATGTAATGTAGGTGACACGAGTCGTAATGTTCTTTTCCATAGAGCCATTTTAGTAACACACTTGCAATGACTAGTGTATAAGTAGGGACATGTGCGTGGCACATGGCAAACCTAAATTATAGTTAGGAAAGGATCACATAATTTATTTTTTGAACAAGTTAGAATAAAAAATAGCATGTGTGTAATTTTTGAATTCCCTGTCAAATAATTGTAGGGTCCTATACAATAACCAGTTATCTCTACTTTTTCAATAGTTTAGTAGCATTACTGAGCATATTTGTCAACTAGAAAAGCTAAAATTGTAATAATTAATTTAACTAATATACAGATATTACTACTATAATTGTTTAGTTTTTGGTCTCCTGATAAATGTTAATAAATAGGTTACATGGTGGTTATTGCACTGTAGCATTGTTACGATTATTAAGTTATATTATCATTTAAAATAATAACTTAACATTTTTTTTTTTTTAGAAATTATTATTAAAATTAGAAGTTTTTAATCCTGAAACGAAAAAATTAATTTTAAAAAGATTATCACCTATCACCATTAGTTTATCATATTAATCTCACGAACCTAGACATTGTTATGATAACTGTTATTACCATAATTACTAGAGCGTAAGACCTATTCGATTGAGGTAAAATTCTTTTCCTCTAGTTTCGTTAATTATATCGTCCAGTGCGCGTGAGCAATCGATTGTTTCATTGTGCAAGTGTGTGTATATTAGTATATATATATATATATATATATATTATGTTATGGCCGGTCAATGGTTCAACCAATGCCTTGTAAGTATTGGGTATTTTGATTGATAATGTTGTACGTAGGCATTATTCGAACAAAATATTTGAAAATCCAACTTAATTTCTCCTCTCCTTAAAAATATTTTTAAATAAATTTGCTTATAATTTTCATATTTGGTGGCTATGGCAAAATTAGGGTAGATAAGCCCCCCAAGACCCTTCAGATTGCTGCACCCATGCTTTTGTATTCAAATCATTTTAGACTCAACATAGTCTTTAAATATTTTTTAATTATATCAATTTTAAGAAAAAAAATTTCTTAAACCTTATATTTGGTTTAAAATGATTTAAATTGTATAGATTGTTCAGTAAGTAAGGAAATGTGTTTATATTCTCATTGTTTGTAACAATTGACCTATATTACCTAATATTTGACGTTATCGTAGCTTCCTTGAAAAATGGTCATTTTATCTTTTCAGGAAAATTAGACATTTGTATAAAATTACCTACTGTTAATTATTATTGTAATGCGCGCTGAAAATACACCGTGTAATTGTTAAAATTCATCAAATTAAATAATTTAGATATATTTATTGTATATTATAAACCAGATAAATTATTATAAACTTGGAATGTATTATTAAAAATAACATTATTTATTTAAAAGGATTGGATGACTTTTATTTTTCTCGTTAAATAAATTCTAGTCCTAATCATCGGTTAAATAATGTTAATAAATACAAAATATAAATTTTATTTCGATTTAATTTGATGTTTAAAATTGTAAATATTCAAAATTATAATTTATAATGTCTGGTCTTCAGTTTTAAATTAATTAAAAAAATAATGTTTTTTTTTTTATCTTGTCTGATTAGCAAGGAAAATAAACAAATCGTATTATTTACAAGTCTTCAATTAACACGGTGATTGACAAAATCATATATTACTCTTATAGCAGTAATATTAAAATTTGACTATTCTAAAAATGACATTACTGATATAGCAGTAATATTTTCAATGATTTCTTATGAAGGAGGAAATTGTTCTGACCCCATGCATCTCATAAAACCAGTGTTTGTAAAATACCATGTCATTTATTGTCTATCAACGTGTTGATAATAAATAATAACAAAGTTATGGTATAGTAGTCAATCTTCTCTAAAAAAAAAAACAATAAAAATGTTTTTTTTTGGTTGGACTGAAAAATAAAATATATAATATGAATTTTAGAGTTTTTACTCTATGAACTTTTGTTCATATAAATACCATTATGTCAATAATCATTTAAGTGCTAAAAATTATTATCCTTAAAAATAAAATAATAACTTGAAGAAAAATTGATGAGGGCTATAAAACTCAATTTCAGTTCTGTATTTTAAAATTATGAAACTTCTAACAATTGGTGAAGTTGATATTATAAAACTCTTTAATTTTTTTTTTTGAAAACTTGACGTTTTTGTCTTCCTACAGAATTTCAATTTAATTTTTACAAATACTCTATAGAATGTTTTAATCTCAAATATGTGTTTTTATTTTAAAAAATACTGTGAAGTTTTTTTTTTTCAAAATTATCAATCAATTTCTTTTGTCCGCGCATATATAATTGTAGTACAAGTCAAATTAATAGTTTTCGATTTTTATTCATAATAAGTAAATTTTCTTCTTGTTTCATGTGAGGTTTGTCACGTTTAGTGCAGATGTTTAATATGTGGAGATTTTGGCGTTGCTGTTGTAGTGAAGTATTTGGTGTATGTATTCACTATAACGTCATCGCCAAGTATATTTTAACACGGCCTCATATCATCTAATATACGTTATTATAAAAATAGGCTTCTAATAATGTGCGTGCGTGTATCAAATAGTATTCTCGTGCGTGAGTATGTTTATATATACAAAAATTAATAAACGCATTGTCGTCGTTCACTATAAGATTTGTGTATATACACATAGTCGTGTCATCCTCCGCTTTTCGGCTAATATTCTATGTTTATACCTATATACAAATCTATGTACTATTGCCAAATAATTTTATTTCTCTCAGAATTTGTTAGTTTAAAATTATAACTAAAACTTTTAATATTTATGTATGAGATATATTTGTTGTGTACGTAATATGTATAATAACTAATTATGAATATTTTCGAGTTTATTAACAAATAGAATCGATTAGAACATCTGATTTTTTAGAAATAATTTATGCTTTCTCAGAGTACGTTAAAATAATAATTTTTATCATTTATTTTTAGTAACAATAAAAATAATCTTTTTTTATAAATATATTTCAAAATAATCAGTGTTTAGCACTATTCTTACAAAAATGATTTATGGATCGATAATAATTTTAGAACAAATAATAATTTTATAGTAACAAGCATTTTAATATATAGAGTGGGTATGTAATACGGGTGGAGTATGTGTTTATAATTTTTATAACGCATACTCATGTATATTACACTAGTACAAACTGTACTCACCTGCGCTTCCTACCCACTCTATGTATTAAAATGCTTGTAATAATAATTATTCATTTATCATTCTAAAATTATTTTTGATCCATTAAAATTTTTTATAAAAAAAGTTCTAAGACGATTTTGAAAAAAAATTTAAGACCTTTTTTTATTTATTTATTATTTTGTGTTATCAACCTTAAGATTGATTTTGTAATTTTCTATAGTTCCTACACTCATCTTTATTACCATCTAGTTTCGTTAATTTGTTATAATTTGATAGATTCCCCCATTGGATATTAATTTTTTTGATGCATAATTTTCTTTAAAAGTCCCCCCCGATGTTTCTTTATTTTATTATTAAAAACAAATATAAAAAATATGCTCTTAACGTAATCTACAAATGAAAAAATTTGTTAAAATTAAAAATATACTTAAATTATTATTAATTTAAAACTAAAATGTATAAAAAAATAATGAAAGATTTAATTATAAAATGAGCTATTAGTAAATTATACCTGATTAAGTTTGATTTTTTGTAACGAGTATTTTTACTGTTGAGTATGTAGTTTTATAAATGTTTAGAGATTTTAAAAATATTTGCAAATTATTTTTGATTAAAAAGAAAATGGTGTAGAGACCTCCTATAGAAAAAAAAAAATGAAATCGAAAAACAAAACTCAAAGTAGGTAGCTCCATTGGGTGCCCCCCTAATGCATGCTATTCAAGTCATATTGTAATTTTTTTTTTCACTACTATTAATCTATTAACGGTTGTGCATATATTTTGTATAGATGTAAATTTATAAAGTTATTTGAATAAAAAAAAAAATTATTTTTAATAAGATAGTACATTTTTTATGTTATCACATAATAAGTATCCGATAACTTAAAATAATAAAAAAAATACGTTCTATAAGAGGTGACTAAGTATATTGAACTGTTTTGTCTCTGATTTAAAAGGTATTCATTAATGAACAATTAAATGTGTTACCAATCAATATATATTTGATTTAGGCTTCTTTGGTGCTGCAACTATTCCAATAAATCAATTTTACTGTTATTTTATAAAGTAATAATAAAAATGATGCATGTATTACTCATTGTTAATTATTACTACCATCATAATTTTTGCATTTTTACATCCAAACTCCTAGATTAATTTCAAAAGTACAAAATACTTCTTTAAATATGATCCCTAAAAAAAAATTGTATTGTGATGTACTGAGTATATGACACTAGACTGTGGTGGGGTTCCAGGGGATGGCGGCGGTGGACCTACCATGGGATGTTACCTGAATGCCACTGAACCGAAACCAGTATGCACGGAATGCGGCCGGGTTTACAGCAGTGTGAGTAACCTGAAGCAGCATATAGCCAATGTCCACTCAGCCACCCCACATTGGGAACCGTGTCCCGTGTGCGGTAAACACTTTAAGACTCGTCAGTATTTGTTCAATCATCTGTTGCAAACTCATGGTATCCGACAGCGCGGCAGCAGAATGCACATGCATGTGCCTGGTGGAAGCGGTGGTGTAGGAGGAGGTGACGGCAGTTCTATGCCAAATCTGCCGTCGTCTTCAACCACCGCCTCTACTTTATTATCATCCGATGGATGTTTTTCGACTGTCAAGCCGCTGCTCCACAATATTACCATTGCAGACATCAAACCATCATTATCACAACACTCGACGGTTGTGACAGCAGCGGCCGCTGTTTCTTCCTCTGTACTCACCAACCACAACAACGATCAACACCATTCCGGATTTCCGGGGACATCTTCAATTTCCGTTGATACCATGCGGGAACATCACCGATTGAACTCGACCGCCACCGCCGCCGCTAACTCTGAAAATATATCTTCTCAATTTTATACTCTAAATAAGGCTTCACCGGTTTCTAGATAAAAAAAAACATAGATGACTTTCACCAACTAAATACAGCAAATTTGAATTTTCAAAACTGTAATATAATCTTTTTTTCGTTTTAAAATTACTGAGTATTTAATGAAATTTTGTTACTTTAATAATAGATTTTTTGCTCATATATTTTATCAGTTTTTTATCGCTATTGTTAAAGTGCCCATTTCTAGACGAATGACTTTGTTCTATACGTTTTTATAAACCTAAAAATTACAATTTTACTGTAATTTATATTTATAATATATTTAAACCATTCAGTGATGCATACAAAAGTTTTAGAGGGGCTAATATTAAAATTCCATTTTTGATTGCTTTTTTTATGTTTAATAGTTTCAAGGGATTATTTTTATACTAATAATTTAGGAAAATATGGCTAATGAAGAAGGCTATACCAGTCCCCTGGATACGCCACTGAAACGTTCACATAAGTATACAAAATATATTTTAGTTATCTTATATTATTTATCCTAAAAATTACAATGATCATATTAGTTGGAACAGTAATTTGAAGAAAACAAAAATTAAAGAGTAATTTTAATAATACTATTATAGTGCTGTAAAATTTTTATTTTATTTTAACAAAGTTAAATATGAATTTTTAATTCATAAATTTTATAATATGATAATTATTTTACTTTGTTAAATCGTAGATTAAACGCACCTATAAAATCTATGGTTCAATTAAAATGTAAATATACGTCTTTATATAGTCTCTAGTCATTCCTTTGTAATATTAAAAATTATATTATCTTCTAAGGAAATTTAAATTTTAGTAAATATATAAACAAATATAATTTATATACTATAAATTCTTCATATTTTATCAATACATTTTTTATGTCGCGTAGTTATTCAAGATATTCAAAAAATATTGTATTTTAAATAAATGTATAGGTGGTCCAAAATACTTTTGATTTAATAACATACAATTATAGTGTCGTGTAGATCTCAATCGTTTATAATGTGATTCATTAACTTTTCTGTCTGTTAAATCCTTTTGAAATTTGTTCAAGTCTATTCATCGATATCTTTTAATTTTTTTTAAAAAGGATGATTTGTAAAAAATATTCTTTAATAGTCTCTAAAACTTATATGTTAAATTACGCAAGAAATATAATAATTTTGCAATGCTATTTGATAAAAAAAAAATTAAATACTTAGTACAATGCTTACCAATTTGTTTAAGGTCATTGATGTCAGATTTTATTTGTTCTTTTTTTGTGCGCTCGACCGAATTAACGTTTACCGTAGTCGTCGTCACATTTGTTGTTATCATTCTTATTACTATACTACTATATTTTTGTAATTAACCTTAAACTTTGATACGCGCATATGCTTAGTTTGTACTCTTCCCCTTCACTTGTCAGGTCGTATAATACATTTAATTAAAAACATATTACTCGTCTTATCTATTTATTTACGCAGATAATCACTAATTGTAGCATTCTTATAGAATTAAGACATTCATACAAATTAAATGTTTTATTAAAATTAAATACAATTTTTTAAAAAGAAAGAAAAAAATAAATTAGTTACATCATCATATAAGCCTGTAATACACATTACACTAACAATTTTACATATAAATTTGTATATCTAGAATTGTCTATGTAAATTGCATTTATTATGTCGCATCTAAAAATAAATATTATTATTGAATTTAAAATTTTGTACTTAATTTTAAGATTTTATTCAATTCTAAAAGATTATGAATTATCCTCGTTTATTAATTATTTAATACTATAAAGAGTAATATCAGAGTTATGAAAATATGAATCCTATTATGCATTTAACTATCAATTCACTACGAAAAATCTAGTTAATTTTTCAAACTTTTATAATATTTATATTATTAATTAATATTAGTAGTTTCATATTGCTATTTAGTGAAATTTAGGTAATAATTAACGTTATTAAAGAGGAGAGAGAACTCAAAGGTAAAATAACTGTATGATGAAAATAATAATTTTTTTTCTTATTATTATTTTTTTAAATTAATCTTATGTATCCCCCTACAACCAAGTTACACCCTAGTTACGCCTTTGTAGTTCTTAAAATGTAATTTAATATTATAAAATATAATATTTAAGTTTTGTTACATGTGATTTCATTATTATTTAATAAATTGTGTAAATAATATACAGAATGTCCCACCAGGTTTTGACATATTTAATAAGTTTTGATCCAGTTAATATTTAGCTTTATTTTTTTTTTTAGTTTTGGACAGTGTTAAAAACTTATTATTTATTTTTATCATCATCTATTTAACCTCTATCCCAACTATTTTTTAGGGTACACTTTACTAATTTGACATAATTTTTACACTGACGCAACCTCGTTATGGTTGAGGGAATCAGTAAAGGGGCAAGATATGTATTACTGTTAAAGTTGGCGTACGACCACTCATCCGGGAACTAACAGTTAATAGCGTAGCTGAACATCAGCACTTGGACAGCGAATGAATGATCCACTGCGCCACATCACGCCCCTTTTTTTGTTATAAATTATAATTATAATTTATTAACTATAAAAATTTGCAGTATGCATTTAATGCCATTGATTTAATATTATTTCAAAAAACGTATACTCAATTTATTAGTATTTTTATTTTTCGAGTTGCATATTTTTAATATTTTTTAGTTTTAATTTATATTTTAAATAATTTTTTTATTATTTTGAAATTTAAAATATCAATATTTTAGCTCTCCATTACTAAAAAATTGTATAGGTTGATGTCAACTTTAGGATAAGTACTTATTGAGTTAAAATCATTTAATGCATAGAATGAGTAATAGCGGTCGAATTTTGCGTTGTATAAATAAAAAATTAATATTTAAATATGTTTAGTATTTAAATATACCTATTGAATATTAAATCAATTAAATTTAAATTGTGAAAAAAGTATTTTTTAATTACTATTGAATTTCGGAAAGGATTAACATAGTTAACATTTTATAATTTGGAAACACTGATTACCTACCTAACAATGACTGAGTAATTTAATCATTTTACTATATTGGTTGTATACATTTTTATCAGTGTATATTCTGTTAAAATGCTTGTAACTTAATAAGCACTTATCCTAAAGTTGATATCGATTTATCAAATTTTTTTAGAATAAAAGAACTAATAAAAGAATCATATGCATTTATAGATTTTGTTAGATTAATCCGAACACACCATCAGCCAGTACATAATGTTATTAATTGAATTGAAAATGTAGCAATGTGTTGTTACCCAGGTTATAGTTTTTGGGAGAATTAAGAGGGTTAAGAAGAAAAATATTTGATGAAATTGAGTTAATAGTGTTATGGTAGAATATAATTTATTTCAAATAAATTTGGAAAGTAAAAAAAATCGATATTTTTGTTGCTAAATTGCATTAAAATAATGATGATGCGTAAGAATTAATAATAGCAAAATTACTATATGGGAGTTCTACTTAAAAAGTGAAAAATTGTTTTCCTACATATTTATACTTATACATAAGTATAAGCTAGTGCTTATACTTCAAACTAATAACTATATATAAAATTAATTATTTATTCTATGTAACAGAAATATTTAAACAAAATATTAAGTTACAAAATTTTAATTTTATAATTTTGTGTTAATTGTTTGTTGGTTTTTTTAGCCAGGAGATCTATTGAGATGACTAGAGTCAGAGCCACAGATCCTCGACCATGTCCCAAATGTGGCAAAATCTACCGATCAGCCCATACACTCCGTACTCACCTCGAAGATAAACATACTGTTTGCTCTGGTTATAGATGTGTTCTGTGTGGTACTGTTGCTAAGTCTAGGAATTCACTGCACTCACACATGTCACGACAACATCGAGGAATTAGCACTAAAGATCTACCTGTTCAACCAATGCCATCAAATTTTGACCCGGAACTTGCTTCTAATTTACTTCTTAAAGCTGGCGTTAAAGTAATTGTTATTAAACAAGTATTTGTAAAATACATATTATTATTTATTAATATAATTATTCTGTTTTACACTGCCTTAATAAACTTTAATCATTAAAAGGAATACAATTTTATGACTATTTGTTATAATGATTGAAATTTTCAAATTATAAAAAAAATGAATGAAACATTTTTTTAGAATTTTTATTTATATTCGTTTTCTTCTTTTTTTCATCAGCTTAACAGTCCATTCAGAATCAGCGCTTCCGTTGGTTTTCATACCTAACATATATTAGAACTTTGTTTACTACCAATAATATTTTTCATTCAAACTTAATAAACATTTTTGTTTTATGCAGCAAAAAATTTAAAGTTTACTTAAAAAAAGTTATTTCCCGACGTTAAATGTATGTTGATGACAGTTGCATCAATATAAATAGATTGAGTGCATTATTTGATTCAAACTTTAAACTATTCTGAATATTTTTACCAAGCTTGTTAAAATGTATAACTATATCTTTTCAAAGCGATTTTTGGATCAAGATATTTCCCGAATTCAAATTTTTATGATAAAATTATATTATTATTACTTCTATATCTAACCAAACTATAAATTTTTTGTGTATTTTTTTTTATCATATATTCAGTTATTTAATTAGTATAAACATAATATATTTAACTAATTTCAATATTATGAACTTTTAAGTTATATTAATTTTTAAATTTAAATCTAGTCCTTAATTTCAATTATAATTTAACACCAGTCATTTTATTTAAAATTTTTATTTACACTTTAATATATTATTTAGATTTCACCTGCTGAATTACGTGCCAGAGCTTCACCAACTGATACAATTTCTTGCCATCGCCGGGACAATATTAAATTAGACTTACAATCAACTAACAGCAGTGTCTGTGGAGGTGATGATCCTGAAGATCTTACCATTAACTCTAACCATAATAATGGTAACAATAATCAATTACGTTATGGACCAGGTGATTTAAATCTTCAAAAAAAAATTTCAACTAATATGGATTTAATAGAATATGCTCGAAGTAGTGTTGGGAGTGGTGGATTGTCACCTTTTTTAGCACTTGCTAAAGAACAGGGTGACAAAATGTTAGGTAATTATGCTTATTTAAAGGCTATGATGGAAACCAATTCCCCATTATATTATGCATCTAAATTTGGGGTTGACATGATGAATCAAGAAATTGTTCCTGATGATGCTGATTACTCCTCAGCATCTGATGAGGAAGAAGATGATGATAGTGTAAATGACTCTCCTTTGACTCTTCAAGCTGGGAAAAATTAGGTTGAAAAAATTCTTAAAAATAAAATTACATTTACTAAGTTAGCTGTAATAAATTTTAAACACAAATTCATTTATATCAAATCTTCAACCAATTGATATACAAAGGTTAAACACTGTTATAGTGATTTCTTAATATTATAGTGGATTAACAATGTATATTCTATATTTTTGTATGACAATAGTCACCATTGGACAATAATCATCAGGAATTTATTACAAAACATGGTAACACTGTTTTATGACTTAAAGTAGTGACAATATACACATATATAGATATATAAAACACTTAAAATCAGTTTGACAATTTTTTAAATTTTTATTACATATATATATTTGCATATATAATTTTTATATTTCATATTTCTCAACTAGTCATTTAACTGTACAACAGTCTAACACAAGTTTAATCTTATATCAACATGTGTTCCTAAATGTTTTACAATGACCAGTTTTTATTTGTGCCATAGTATTATATAGTATAAATTTAAAAAAGTTTTATCTCTTAAATCTAGCAACTAGCACAAACAATACCATTCCTTTTAAACTACCTCAATTTTTAGATTATATTTAATGCAATAGTAAAAATAACTTGGTTTACTATTATTATTATTAGATATTATTTTATTACTTATGAATACAGAATATTTTTATAATCCACCTAAAAATGTTAGTTTATAATAACTAACCAGTATTAATATTTTATAATTAATTTAATAAGTATACTATACCAACTAATAGTTGTTAAAAGTATTGGATTTTTTTTTCATTAAAACTACAAGATTAATTATCAGACAAAGTAACATTTATTGACCATTTTACCTGTGCTTTTGTAACTGATGACAATTTTGCTAACATAATAGTCTGAAGGACCTCTTCACGTGTTCAAAAATATAATATTTATACTGTAAGATATATTTATTTATATATTTTGTAAATGAAATTCATGAAATAAATTCACCTCTAAACCTGAATAAAAACAATAATTTATTTAAATAGTATTTTGTCTTAAAAGAATAATTAATATTTTAAGTTAAATATATTGTTATAATAATAAAAATTTCTGTGTACAAAAAAATGTTATTGTTGGTAATGTTTTGGATTTATAACAAAGTTTACAAGTAATTAGAAAGCTCAATATATATATATATATATACATATATATATATATAATATTATTTTGTTATATTGGATTTTATGTTTTTTATTATTTTATATTTTTGGAAAGATAGAGTACAAATAAAAGTGCAAAATTAGTGTTAAGGTTATTGTAAATTGGTTAAATAATAATAACCTGTTTTTTTTTTATATCATTAATTTTAAGTATGCATGTTATTAAATGATTAATAAATAAACTTTGGTTTTAAGTACATTACTAATGATAACAAAATATAATCATTATAATTTGGTAAAGTATAGTCATTACAACTTAAAGTACAAAATTAAATGCTATTTTTACTTAACAAAATAGTTTTTATGTCTGTTATGGATTAAATTATAGTTTTTCTCTGTGTCTAATCAGTTTGGAAGTTAAATATTTATCTTATATACTTATTATGTGCAATAACAGTTTATAATACCAATGTTAAAGATTTCTATTTAATTTTTATGAAGTTGTATCTTTGTTAAAAGTTAAATTCTCTAAACTTATAATCCTTAAACTCAAATAGTGATTTTTTGTCACTACTACTTTAAAATTGTAATATCCTAGTCAATTTCAATCCATTTCAATTTACGTTAAAACTAAATACTACAAACAGGAATCTTTTTTATATTCTTTTCCAAGTATATAAAAATATTTATCCATTATGTCTTGATTATGTATTTAATTTTAATATTTCTTTAGTGGTCATGGTCATATTTCCTAATTAGACTGATGAAAGGAAAGACTGATGACACTTTTATTTATATAATTTTATTTTTGTAGTTTATTTAATGCATAAATAAATGTTACAAGTCATTATAATATATATATTTACAATATATTAATGTATATATATTATTAAATAGACATATTTAATGACTTTTATATAAACATATAGCTATTATATTATTATTTTTTAAGTTTACTGAACATTGTACAAAATATAACAAAAGTAACATTAACAAAAGTTATTATAAAAAACCAAATTACAGCATAGTATTTATAATTTTTTTTTATTTATTGTTAATTTTTTTCATATATTACTAAGTATTTTGAGACAAACTAATTTAAGTGTTTTCTTTAAATATTATATTATTTTTAAATTGAAACTATATTATTATTGTTTTTATTATTTATTGCAATGCTTGTTTCTAAGTGTTACGTGTATAAATTGTATTATGTTTATACACAAAACATATTCTGTGTAATGTAGACTGGTGCTTTACAAAGTAAATTTTTAAATATTAATGTAGCTTAGATTAACAAATAACCTTTTTTCTGGTATAAATTTATCTGCAACTTTAATGGTATTATAAATAATATTAGTAACTTAATTTTATTAATATTTATTTTTTACTTGTCAATGTTTAAATCAAATTACAACGATAGTACAAATATTTTAATTTAGGGAGTTCTATAAAATCATATTTTATTTAAGTGATAAGAATTTGTTATGATAAAAAAAAATCAAAACATGTCCTCTTTATTATTTATTTAAAAAATTATAGATTTTAATTTTTGTTTAAGTGCCATATGTATAATTTAAGTCTAATTTTAGTGTATGATTTAATTTGTATTCAACTAAAAAGACAACTATGATATTTTAAAAGTGCAAAAATTTTGAGAAATTTAAATAGATCAAAATATTTGCTTTAATTATTTTTGATTTAATTATCTCCAATAGTATTGATTCAATAAACTTGAGATTTGCTGGTTTTTAAAAATTTCGAAAAAATTAATGTTTTGTTTTAATTAATGTTATTGTTTATTATTGAGTTTTATTTGCTTCTCAGTAAACTTTCTTTAATAATCACCCTTTATTATCTTTTGTTAATACCCTATGTTAAATTTAAAGCAAAAACTTTTAAAAAATTTTTTTAGAAAATTGACTTATTTAAATATCATTTTAAAAACAAAATTAAATAATGTTATTACAATTGTAATAATTATAAAAAATTAACATTTAGATATATATTATTTAAATTACATTTTTTTTGTTTAAACAGATTTGTTGTGCTCAATTTTTTTTTTTTTTTTGTATATTTTGACTTTGGTTTTATTTTAAGTAATATGTGTTTGTTTTCATTTAAAGATTTAAACATTTTTTATTTATCACCAAATTTATTGTATTACAAATTGTGTATAATTTACTTAATAAAACATTGTGTAGATTTTTTAGTAAAATATTAGCTTTATATTTATTAAAAAAATATATTAAAGCAAAAAAGAGTAATGATTTATCACAGACATTTATTATATTTTTTTCATTATGAAATACTAATAAAAATCTACAAATCAATAATTTACAAGGAGGCCATGTTTTTATTCATATTTTAAAAGTGTTATAATTCAAAAAAAAAAAGCAAAAAAGGGGTTGTTAAAATATAAATAATGAAAATGAATGATGAATGTTTGGGCTTAGTGAGAACCTGATGTTGTGGTTCTATCGGGGTCGTATGGTTCGAGGGTTTAGAACAATAAAGACAAGTAGATATGAAGAAATAAAAGCATGTCCTCTTTCTTGAGGAATATGAGCTAATAAACTTGTAAACACCTTTAATAGGACACTGAGGTAACGGGGCGGTAATCCGACCCTCGAATACTCAGTCGAAGTGTCTATTATCAGATACACATTAGGGTTTTAAACTCTTTTTAGGCACGGGACGGTAATCCGACCCTCGAGACCTGTAATGTGTATACAGGGTGATCAGTAAGTCAGGAAACGGGTTTCTATTGTTCTCATTGTTTGTAACAATGAGAACAATAGAAACCCGTTTCCTGACTTACTGANCACGGGGCGGTAATCCGACCCTCGAGACCCTGTAATGTGTATATGTAGCAGGTGTGAACAAACTAGCAAAATAGCTCTTGATGTTAAAAGGAGATTATAGATCTATTGCTTTATCGTTCTTTACTCAGATTATTAACTTTAAATAAATGGGATAATATAAATTGACTTACCTTCGTATTTTGTGATGTCCAAGAAGATAAATGAAGTATTTACCAGAAATGCCAATTTTTACTCAATATTATTTATTTGTGGTAATAATGTCTTTGTAGACCAAAATAAGTTTTAAACACAAATAAAGTAAACAAAATAAAATAACTCAAACGGCAGCACGGGGCCGTGATCAAAATGTAATAGCAAGAGTAGTTCGCAGGAAAGAACTAGCTTACTGGAGCTGTGGCTCTGGCAGTAGCTCTCTCTAGCCGTGGCTCTGTCTTTTCAATGGATATCAGTGCTTTTTATAGTACTGAAGAGGTACCCCCATATCCAGGGATATTGCCGTTTGTGTTATTCATGATTATATTTTATTGTTTTAAAGTATACATTACATGATAATTATATTGATAGCATAGTTAACAAATAGATGAGTTGACATATATGTATATAATAAGAAATTTTGTTGAACATTGTATTTGTTATGACAGATAAATTATTTGTTTGTTTACAAGTTATTTAAAATAGAGATTATACTTTTTTCATTGATAATTGTGAAATGCGTAATGCAAAATATTAAGCATATCACGACAAAAGTATAGACACAAAGCCTAATTAAGGCATATATGTGGTGGTACCTTAAGCTGAGCCAACCTATGGAAAATTTCACTACAAATAAAATTGATGGACAAAAAAACAAAAATTAAAAAATTGTATATCTTTTATCATGACAGAATTTTTTTTTTTTTTTAATAAAAACATATATCATACACTTTTCCATTAAAAAAACAAAATTTGACACAATTTTAAGAAGTTAAGATGAATTTTTTTTTTTTTTTTTATTATAGAACATATATTATAAAATTTATTATACAAGACATAGTTTAACAATTATTTAATATTTGTGTACAAAAATTCATGTAATTTTTATCGTTTTTGAGGGGACTAGGATAAAAAGGCGGAAAAATACTTCTAGCAACTTGAGAGTATCAACTGAGGCATTTCCCCGTCTAGTTTTTAATGAATAATAAAACTAGTCAATCTACTCTTACTGGCTGTGACATACTAACATAAGTAAGGAAAGGATTTATAAATTTTATTTTAGCCAATTTAAAGAAACCCAATTTTGTGCAACTTAGTTTTAAGGATATACAAATGAGTTATGAAGATATGTCAAATCCAATAACTTTTAATTCAATTATCATTTATTATTAAAATAATTATTGTCTTCTAAGATTGCTTATTACATATCTTGTAATAAGTCATTGGACAATTTGCCAATATTGCAAAAATTAGTATCTCTGATTTTTAACTTTGTTAAAATATAAGTAATTTTCTTAATATCAACATTATCTAATAAATAAGCTTGTTAATTATGTATTTTGCTATTTGAAAAAATGAAGTTAACACCCTTATAAAATATAAGGGATAAACATAAAAAATACATCTATTGCCCTCTATACTAATTGCTCTCCTTCTCTTCATCACTATACATCTAAATACAATTCCCCACATTTTTGTTGTTACGTGCTGCTCTATTTTTAAACGACTCTGCGCTGTAATAATACTCAGTGGGAGCTAGAGAATATAACTATTTCACGGCGAATTTTAGTAAAACATATTCTAACTGTATGATTTACTAACACGTACTTTAAAATCTTATTTTAAAGTAAATTTACAAAAACTTTTGTGCATTTACTACTCAAAGTAATATAAAGTCAAAGAAAAGAGTTAATAGTTAAACAAGATTTACTATATAGTGATTTAACATTTGATTTGCATTACGGTCTTCCATTAATTCCAATTTCATTTTATAAAAAAATGTCCCATTTCAAGAGACCAAAGAAGAAACCATTTGTACCTATTAGAAAGGTTAGTTTAACTTACTGTAAATAATAAATTAACAAAATATAATGTCAATAAATATTAATGATTTGAATCACAGTGAATATAATTATTCATAAATTAAATTAATTGAAAAAACAATTTGTTTTACATAAATTTCATATTGGATTTTAAAAAATAAAGAAAGAATGGATATTGTGTTTAAAACTACACAATGAAAAAATTCGATAGTACATTCAAATGATATCGATCATAAATCCTGAATTATTGAATTATATATTGGTTTACTAATCCGTTTAGTATACTAAAACATGACGTTTCAGTGCAACTATAAGAGTTAAACTAAAAACCCGTAATTTTGAATGCTGGTATGCTAAAAATATATTAATGTATTTAAGTTTTAGTGGAACTTTTTATAGTGTGTATCTACCATACTATTTGTGATTTTAGTATGTTAATTACTGTAATTATTGATTACTTGTAATCATTCAGCTTCCTACAAAAACGTATAATTTTTTATATATTTATAAGGTTTCTATATTAATTTAATAATATAGTAATGGAACACCATCTTACTATAAATTATGCTCAAGTAAAAAATAATTTAGAAATTATTGAAAAAGGTCAAGATAATGACCATTAAACAATAAAATTTCATACAGTGGAAGATCCGTTCATTAGTATGTTACAATATGTAGATTTATCTAGTTGCATTTATAAAAGGTTATTTTCTGTAGTTTTGTCTAAAAGGGCATTTGTACAAAATTTTAAATTAACAAAAGACCCTGTTTTAAGTTTAATGAATGAACTACGCCCATATTTAGAACCCCATTAAAGTAGTCTGCTCAAAATTAGAGCACAAAGTTTGTAAAATATTATACTACCTAGTCTAATTAATAAGTAATATTTGACAACATTTTTGCCATGATAGATATTAACAGATTTTTCGCTAGTATATCTTATCAATAAGACAGGAGAATATCGAGCCTACTCATTTAAATGTATTACAATCTTCAGTTAGTAAATGCATAACCGAAGTATGTAATACATTTAATATGCCTACTATTTTTCACAAATATATTAAATATGATTTTATAACATAAATTTTTTTACAAATAAATAGAGAATTTCAGGGCTTATTGGTATAATTGAGCCTTATTCGGAATTAATTTACGTAAACGAGAAAAATTATCATACGATAAATAGGAGATTAGTAAAATAATTTGATGTTTTTCAATAAAATTCAATATAATTACTTTGATAATTCTTACATATGCGATTCAAATATGGGCATACTTAATGTAAATGCAAAGTACCCAGGTAATACTAATGACAGTTATATTTCAGTTATACAGTACTGTTTCTTCAATAATGGAACAAGTTTATGATGAAGGATTCATTCATATTGTTTACTAGGTGTAAATTATAATTTATATCTATTAAAAATAAGCAAAATTAAAATCGAATATCAAAAAAAATATTTTAAAGTAACAATACATAGTATTTCCTGAATTTGTAGAGGACTAATTCGTCAATTAAGAAACCGAGCACCAATAGATGCCTAGTTGCACTTTTATCTATTAGACGATTTTATAATTTAAAAGTACTAATTAATTTTTCATACGGATTTTTTGTGTTAACTAATACGATTTAATTTATGAAGCTTTTCTTGCTAAAATTAAATTATTATTTATGATGATTTATGTGTGTCTTTTTTATTTCTGTCCATAAAAATCGTAATACGTAATATATATTGATCTAGAAAAGTAATTATGATTTTAATGTTACTCTTTTTCTCTCCCATCAGTTTTATTAAAATTTGATTTAGTTGGATCTTTTGTTTAGCAACTTACTTTAAATAACAAAAATAAAACACTAAACATAAAATAACATTTGAATTTTTATTTTTAATGTTTGATATTTCAAATAAAACTATTAATTATGTAATTACCTTTCTCCATTCTATCCATATCTTTTTTGGCCCAACGGTTTGATTTTAAATTTCTGTTTTATTTTGCCATAACAAATTAAAAAATACGTATTTTAATTAGTTCTCTAATCTTAATCTAATGTTTAAGTGTAATAAAATATTAGATAATTTGAAATCTAGTTCCGAAAGGTATATAGATATAGCGAGAAATTTAAAGATATGATTAGTTTACTCTACCTTTAAGTTAACCAGCTGATGATTAGTAATAAGCCTGCTTAAATTAATTTTATAATTGTGATTAAATTATGAGTTTAATTTTACTAAATCTAACATATTAAATTTACCAATATAAAAATTTTATAATGAAAGACAACAAGATTTAAGACATTTGTATTGAGTTTTAAATTCGTAAAAATCGTATAATTCAAACAATTAGTTGTCTTGTACGTACAATTAAGTGCCTATTTATTTCTAAATTTATATTGTGAACTATAAAGTCTAAAACTGTTTTTATATAATTTGGTCTAATTGCGTCATATTTCTTATGAAAAGGGTGAGATGGAAAGGAAAAGGATGAGAAGTATTTACTTATTGGACCAAATACCTCAAAATAGATTAAAAATAAAATAAAACTGTTGTTGAATAAACTGTGCTGCTTTCAGATAGAAAATTCAAAACCCTCTTTTGCCTATCACCTCAAAGCAACATTGAGTTTAAAAAATATCTTTATTTTCAGTTATGTTACTGTATTCAGAATAATTACTCATAAATGTTTATATTTGGACAATTATGTCATGTGAAGCTCCTATATTGTCGAGCAAGAACACGAAAGGATGTAAAACAAATATTTTTCTTTATTTGGTATATGGCTAATTGTGAGACTCGCATGTGAAAAATAATATAAATATATAAATGGTTTGATATTTTTATAATACTTAAAATTTTATTTTAATCAAATAGCCAATCGATTTGATGTATCAGAGAGGTACTAGTCACACTATTTTTAAAAATTATTTTTTAGCTTTTGACAGTCTTGCTTAAAGCTTATTAAATGGCCAACTTGATAAAGTGCAATTGACAATATTAGAAAATATAATAGATTACGGGTGTAAATTCAATTCCTAATGTTTCTGGATGTATCCGATGGCTACCATATTAATACATTATATCCTTTGAAAATAAGGACCACAATGCCAAAACTCGATTGGAACATATTCCAATTTGTTTTTTATTGTAATAGAAAACAAGTATCTACCATCATATTACTGCTTAATCATATTAATCAATAGTGTAGAATTATATACATATCTCAGTTAGAATGATGTCATGTAGTGGTGCATACAGTTAGGGTTCCAATATACATCTTTATATATCTGGGTTGTATAAATTTATTCTTGAGGAAAAATCTGATGTATAAACAAAAAAGGGATT